TGGGTAAAATTGATTAGCATTTGGATAATAATTAAGCTGGGGGTCCTGAACAAAGCTGCATATGCCTTGGTTTCCGCACTTTCAGCTTGATCCATCGGGCTGTACGGACTAAGATGCTGTTGCTCTTGGTACGTGCCTATGCGAGAAGCACAACAGTCATATCCACTCAATCTCAATAAGAAGAGTAGTAGTACTGCAACCAGGTGCAACACACACCGAAACACATGTCCTGCGTTCAAAAAATTTTCATACAATTTTCATTATCTATGAAGTCTTTCATCTCATTAATAGGCCGTGACTATATGCAGTTGAATAAATAAGCATGAAATTCTATGACGTCCTTTAATGGATAAATTTCAAAAGTACTGGCGATCCAATTGCGTGAATAATAAAGCTTGTTCAGACTATATGTGTCTCAAAAGTCAATGTAATACGTGAAGAAGCAGCTGTTTCGGTTGCTTGACTTTCTTCCTATGGCTCTTTCACTAAGCGTCTGTGGTTAATAGTTAGTTGTATCGGCTTAGTAGCAGTGATTTAGTGGAATACTTTTAATAAATAGTCCGGTTTGCCCTTGTGTAGGCAAGACGGACCTTCGGTGGCCTGGGCTGTTTCCTCCGCCGTGAGAGTAAGCTCTGTGCCGTTGGGGTATCGTTCGATGAGTGTCCAGCTGTAGGCTGCCCGACAGTGTGGCGATGCTTCACAAGTACCCCGTAGAGCCAAGTCGTCTGTTCCACTGATCCATGACCCCATTGGGTCGATGTTGTCAAAGGTGAGTGCGGGCTTCACAGGTCTACAAAATAAAGCAAAACATATGAACAGGCGTTGTAGCTGCTGACACCTTAGCGACGAAAACGCGGAAATTTAATTTTTAACTGGGTGCTATGCCGACAAGTTAGTGTTCTTTGGCCGTTCATGCAGTCATTTTGAAGCAGTGTTAACCGATCAGGAGGTCATCCCGGCCGCCATCGCCGTTAATTCATATTTTCTGCACCATTTGACTGTGTGTCCATGCGCTAGCGCCCCAGGGCTCCCAAAAAATTCGTGATATCCTCCGTATTATCTTACCAGTAACAGTTAAGTTGGTCGCCCGCCTCAGGTACCCTTAGCTCCAGCATTCTCTCTTACAAAATTGGTGACATTAGTCTAGTTTTTAGTTTATTATTTAGTTGGTTAGTTTAATTTCAAGTTCAGTTTAGTTTTTTGTTGACTTAGTTTTGGCTAATTTAGCTTAGTTAAGTTTAGTATATACAGTAGTCGCCAAAGACCATGCAACTTTCATAATTTTGTATAAGTTT